CCACGGTAAACATTACAAAAAGTAATTGTACAAAAAAAGATAAAAGTTGTGTAACAAATTAAAAAAGAAGAAGGAAAAAAAAAGAAAAAAGAGGACAACTGTAATATATTTTAATTTTTTTAAAATAATGAACTAGATTTCGTGTCTTAATTACTTTCTATTTTAGTTTAAGAGAGTGTTTGGGAGACATTTTTATGTAAAATGCATTTTTGAATAGTAAATTGATGGAAAATGTGTGATTGAAAAATAAGAAAAAAGTTTTTATTTACGTGTAATATTATTTTAATAAAGAATGTATTGTTGAAAAGAAGAGGGAAAAAAAATACGTTTTAAAAAAATGGTTCCAAACAAGGCCTAAGTATTTTAATAAAGGTCGTGTTTGACGTGATTAGTTAATTAATTACTCCCAACAAATGACTTTCTTCGACTTTATTGATTACTTCAAATCGTTGGGTATTTAATGACGTTATTAATTATGTTTCCAGTCGTATGTGTTTGCGTCATCATTAGTCATAGTGTCGGTTTCTAATTACAAAAGTGGCAAAGTTGTCGGTCTTTTCTTGACTCATGATAAATAATAAATTGATTATAAAATAATTCATATTTCCGTCTGCAGAAGATATCTTAGACGTGTAAACTTTGAATGGTGAACACTCATGAGACCTTACTTCTATCGAAAGTTCTAAATATCTTCGCATTAAATAATTTAACTAAAAGAACTCAAAATGAAAGAAAATAAAACTCTATCATCTTCTTCCACCATACCACCCCCACCATTTGACCCCCAAATAAATTAAAACTGGAAAATCACTAGCCCTGCTGACGAGCGGCCACCGTCAACCACCAAAATGAAAACCAAAAATCAAATTTGTTGACCTTAGGAATTGAACCCTTCACGTGGCCGAGAGCTACTCCATGTGTTCTTCTTTGCGCGCAACAACAAATTGTCAGGTGATAGCTACATACACTCCGACGATCAATTTAATTGACGGTGGTGGCCGACAGTGCCGAAATACACAAACTCAAGGGGGAGGAGAAGATATAATATCTTGGTCATGGAATAACACGTATATCATACCTATCTTATTCTTGGCCAAGTACTTCGTATTTATAAGCGAAGGGTACCACTAGATACGAGAGACGTGTAATCATCCAACAGTGCAAGACATCTGCTCCTAGGTGTCCATCAATCTCTTCCTAGGTGGACGGACAATTAATTCTTCTGATTTTGAATCGACAAATGTCTAAAATGTCACATCAATCATTCCTAAAGATATAGAGACAATTTTAACCAAAAGATTCGTTTGTGAAATTGGTGGCGGAGAGTGCTTCGGTCATCTCATGCTTCAAAAGCAACGCCTCAAACTGTATCACTTCGATGACCTCATGCGTCGACTGGCACGTTCGTTTGGTTTCTAAAATAGACGCGCCTAGGTGCTATGTGAGGGGGCGTAACAAAATCCATCTTTATGAAACACAGAAATGAAACACCATAAATCATGACACTTTGTGCTTCGCTTTCGTGTTTCCATAAACCCTAGAAATCAAAACCAGAAATCTTGAAATTTGTACCTCACTTTCGTGTTTCCACTCCTTCAACAAGTCATTCCTCTCAATGTTTAACGTGTGATAGTATGACAGGGACGACGAGAAATTGGTCGAACTCTATATAATGGAAGTGAATACAATGATGGTTGACGTTTGTCACGACTTCACTGGAGAATGAACGACAATGAATTGAATATTAGGGCTGGAATGTTGCGATATATGGAGACGTGAATAAATGTGGGAAGAGGTTTTGGAATGAACGTGGACGAAGGTTTCGCAAATATACAGTTTTCTTTTTCTAAAACACATAAAATAAGGATACAATTATTAGATTTTTTTTTAAATAATTAATTTAAAAATTTTCAATTGTTGAAATGTGAAACCTCCATCCAGATTTTAGAATGTTAAATTTTTAAAATAGGGTGTTGTGTAATTTCCACTATTTTTTAGAGGAAATTACTCCAAAATCGGTGTTTAAAAATCATAATTCTATAAGGTTTGATAATCCATAAATTAGGTACTAAACCCAAAAATTATCCTCTCACTCTCTATCTTTCATTTCTCCCTCACGTCTCTCATAACCACCTATGCTCTCTCCCATCCCATCATTGGAGACCACCTCTACTGGCATCGAAAAATCCGAGTGTCACTCGCCTCACCGCGACGGGCTTCGGTACAGTGGCTGTTGCAAAATCTGAGCGATGCTTGTCTCGCTTTGATGAGCTTCGGTGCCGCGACTACTGCAAGTCGTCACAGTGTCGATCTGAGGTGTTGATGGTCTGGGCGAGGTGGTAGTGATGTTGCAGTGTGGTGGTGGACTGGTGGTAGTTGGTACTGGTGTTGCGGTGTTGGGTGAGTGGTGTGGTGTTGCGGAGCGGTTCGGCTCGGTGCGGTGGTATTTTACTAGTTCGTGGTGTTTGTCGGGCGTGAGTTAGGTGTGGTTTTTGTCGGTGGCAGTACTGCTGTAGTGGTGGATCCGTCTGTAGTGATGGGGATTGTTGGATCGGTGATGGTTTTGGTGGTGGTGTGTGGTTTGTTGGTCATGGTTGGTGGTTGCAGATAGTGGGGTTATGTAGGAGGTGGCGAGGTAGTGGTCGTACAGATGGTGTGGTGGTTACCTTAGACCAATGATACCTTAAAATTCGATAATTGTGACCGATAAATTCAAATACATGTGATTGATAGGTAATATGTGACCTATAAATTTTTCATCTTTGACCAATGAAAAAAACTGTGACCTATAAAATTTTTGTGACCTTGAAATAATCTATGACTTACAAAATTTTTGATTTGTGATCTCAAAAAAATCTGTAACTAATTAATTTGATGATATATGATAAAAAAATAAATTTGTGACTTATAATTGTGGTTCTGTGAACATTAATTGTGTAATTGTGACTTTTATTGTACTTAATTATTAAATATTTTTAATTAATTAGATAAAAACGTGATTTTCGTATAATTAAACTTAACCACCTAAATTTTGAAGTGTACATACTTGAAACCTGATTTGTGAATTTTTCCTTATTTTTTATTTATTTGGTTTTGGGCCGTCTAAGAAGCTCATTCTAGAGGATCAAACTCAATTGGTAACCCACCATGTGAAGGTATCCATTTACTTTAATTTGGACCAAACTTAATGGGTTGGTAGGAAAGCAAATGCTTTTGGGACATTGACACAAGTAGCACTAAAATGGATATTTAGCAAATATTTATGACTACCTATAAACCACATTTCAACCTGTACCCACTCACTTGGTGTATGTTTAGCAATATTTTTTTGTAAATTATAAGTTGTGAATTTTACGAAATGTAAATATAAACTGTGAATTTCACGAAATGTATAAATAAAAATAATGTTAAACTAGCTTATAATCTTAAAAAATGATTCCTTGAAGATCTATTAATTAAAAAGTACACACTTGCGATATAAATCTAAATCTCGATGGAGTGGATACGGAAGTAACGTCCCCCCCCCCCCCCCCCCCTTTTTTAAATTTTTTGAAAT